ATGAAATTTATTATAAGATAGTTTAAATTATAATATAAAATAGCTTAATATAAAAAAAATTCAATAGTAAATTTTTAATTGATACCATATATAGTTTTGATTTAATTAGTTGACCGAACACCCCATCGTCACATGCTATGGCACAGCAAAAGTCTGACGCAGTATATCTTCCATCATAAGCACCTTCACGTGGAATTCTTGAAACTTTGCGCAGTATCTTTCCGTAGAAAAAATTAAGCAATCAATTCCTTCGGAATGGAATGTTATGAAAATGAATCGTAATGGTAAGTGTGAATCAGAAATATTGCTTATTTTTTTTTTCTCAGTTGCTAATCCCCGAACTTATGCTGTAGGTTCGAAATTACTTAATCTCGGTAAAGTTCTCTTACGTGGAATAATCTTTTATATAGTCTGTGCGGGCGTTAGTGATATAGATAGGTGTAGAAATGGGTTGGGTGGGATAATTTATTTAGGAAATCTAGTGTAATAAAAGAGTGTGGGGATAAGAATCTCGTATTTAGTAATTAGAAATATATTAGTTATAAAAATTTCAAAGAAATAACTTGATGCCGGGACTCGCATTAAATGGCCTAGGATCCGCGTACTCCCTCCCTCTTTGATATCATCATATATTTCATTCGCTTCTCTAGCATTTTTTATGTATCTGAAAAATTAATAAATATTCTCCTACTTCGGGTTTCGAAAAAAATAAATCGCCTTTTTTCGTGATCGGCGTGACAAATTGTCACGCGCACATGATTTTTTTTTTATAATAAAGGTGTCACATTGATATCAAACTTCGTTTTCCATTTTCTAAAACACGTCAGAACCAACACGTGTCAGAACCAACTACCACAGGTAAGAGTAAGTTTTATACTCGTTTTTGTGTTCTACCCTCAGTAATAAGTTATTTCTTTCCGCTAGAAATAGATGATTACTTCACTATAAATGACGAGTGGTCCTTGTTAGATTATCTATTATATCGCCAAAATAACATTGATTTCCAGCCAGACAGAAAAAAAGAACATGGCCGGTATACTCGAAATCTATCAAATATATTGAATTCGAAACAAGCAAAGAAAACTATGATGAAGAAGGCAGGAAATGTGCTTGTCTCTTTTCAGGTTAGATATTTTTTTATTTTTGTTTGGCAGTGGGTGGGTCTAAAGGACAATAATCCTTTGGATGGGGTCCGACCTGCGTTCAACCACCCACACTTCCGGACTACGACCTGAAGTGATGATCTACGGCTCGTGGTGGTTCCACCCTGTCTGTGATTTTTTTCATACTGGTCGTCATTGGACGTCCTGTATTTTTCTTTCTGGTTGTCAGTGGACGGGTCTAAGGAACAATAGTTCTTTGGATGGGGTCCGACCTGCGTTCAACTACCCACACTTCCGGACTACGACCTGGAAGTGATGATCTACGGCTCGTGGTGGTTCCGTCCTGACGCTAGTCTTATCACTGAAACTTCCTAAAAAGTACCATTTGTTTCTTTTTGAGCTATTACTAATACCACGTAATGTCATAGAGCGAAAAGAAATCGCAGTTAGTTAATGAGTTTTGGATTACCGTTGCGTCATCACAGAAACGAATATTTAATGAAGTAGCTGAACGCACGACTCTAGTGGTATGAAGTATTATAAAGATGCACATGGCATGATAAATCCTTAATATATTTCTGTTCGTTTTTTTCAAGGAAAAACATATCACCGATGTTGTGTCCTCGACATTTGAACGAGAACAGACTATACGGGACGAGATTACGAAGCAAGAACTAATTGTGCGAAATAAATTTGCGAAAGTTTGGAAGATACGTATCTTGACGATTATTCGAACAAACGCCAATGTCTCCAAGTAGATAATGAACCACCACGAACTCCTGAACAACATGATACACCGGAAATTGACGAAGAAGAAAGTTCAACCTATGACATTTTTCCAACACATATTCATAAACGACCAGAACCGAATCCCTTTTTAGCCAGAACCAAGCATGATAGAGACATAGAGGAAGAGGATGACGAAGAATATAATGCGGATCAGACGATCGTTGGTGGCAAAAGCACCGATTGGATTATAGATGGGATTCGTATTAGAGAAAGTCTCACACAATACCAGCTGGAGAAGAACCCGCCAAAGACGAGACCGGAATATTACGATGTCATTTTTTTTAATGATAACAATAAAGATGGTTTCTTAGAGACATTGGACGAAAATATCGTAGAAAAAATGCTTGACGATGTAAGACGAAAGGAAGAAAAAACAGAAGATACTTCGGGGCATGAGATTAAGTTACTATTGGACAGCATCATTGATCGCAATATCAAAAACTAAGGAGAAACTTAAACCGAATGAAGATATCCCTTCATTTGAGAAAAATTTTGCGTTGAATTTCGTGAGACATATGTGAGTATATATTTACTTGGTCCTTATTGATAGGTGTGATGCTAATGTGTCTAACCTTATGTAGGGTAAAATTAATAGAAGATGTGAACTTGCTCCTCGATCAAATGTCCGAAGGAACATATATAGTTCATGTGTTAGCTCCGATACTCTCTGAATTTTTCATTAAAAACAAACAAGATTGGTATGCATCTTATGGGGAGACGTGCCTCAAAGCAAGCGCAAAAGATGGTAACTCCCAAAAAGCAGATGATCAGCGCCGATCTCCCGGAAAGAAAATAGACACTATTATCTCATTGAGAGAAGAGGATGAAGAGTTTTCCGTGACTGAAGTTAGTGGTCCACCGGCGAAGAACGATTGGTCACACTTCAAGGGTGATCGTATGAAAATCACCAAAATGTTGAAAACCCTAATAAATCGATTTGCAGAACTAAGTCCAAGTTCTGGTATCTCATTGGTTAGGTTGTACGGATTACAAGCATATTGTAAGTTTTGATTATTAACATTACTATACTTATTATTGTTATTATCATATGCAATACTAACTCTTGGAATATATAGTAAATGAGCTTATAATCTATGAATTTCAATTAAAATACACCGAGATATATATAATGATACCGGTATTAAAATTTCCTTTACCGAAAACATGGAAGGATATGGCGAAAGCTCATGAAACTGTGATGGGCTTGTTGAAATATGAGGTTTGTATGAATTTCAGGAAAAATAAAATATAGGAATCACAAAATTTTAAAAAGCAACCAAATAGATATGTATCTCATCTATATTTATTAACCAATAAGTTACAAAGAGGGAAAGCAGGCTCCATCTTTAGAACATATTAATTAATAGATTTCAATGTCTTAGGACATATTCATTAATAGATTATAATGTCCTAAAATATATTAATTAATAGATTACAACGTCCTAGAACATATTAGTCTGATACAAGTGGATTGTCTTAAGACATTTTAATATATTAATATATTAAAATTTCTTAGGACAATCCACTAGATTAACAAAGGATTTAGTTTAAAGATTTTATAGAACAAGAGTATATAGAGAACTCTGAAAATTTATACAATTAAAATGTACTTTAAAGATAAGCATAATTATGGATTAAGTAATTAGAGTTTTATTATAGAAAAGAATTATTACAATTGTATTTATTGATATACAAATATATTTTAGTAATTTATCTTATTATTAATAGGACTAAAGTAAATTTTTTTAAAGATCTATATCATTAATAAACTTCTAAAGCTACTCTATTTATAAGAAATTTAATAATAATATAAAAATAATAAATATAAAAATAAATAAGAAAATAAAACATTATATATTTGCTATTTTTTGAATATCTAACATATGGAAGGTTTGCTAGGAAAACGGGGCTCTGAGTATTTTTTATTAAAATTTTAATTTTTATTGCATTTTAATTTTTGATAATGTTAGATTAAAATGCAATAAAAATTAAAATTTTAATAAAAAATGCTCAGAACCCCATTTTCTTAGCAAACCTCCAATATGTAAAATATTTGGCATGTTGTACAAATTTGGTATATTTCATAGATCTGCCAGTTTTAGCAGATTTGGCAAATTATATAGCAAAGTAAAAATACTATAATATATTATATTAGGTAATTTTTAATTACTTATTACAGTATTTCATTTAATTTTAATATTTTAATTAATCTTTTTAGAATTTTAATTAAATTTATTAAAGTGATTTATAAATATTATACTTTAGATGTTAACATATCTTAATTTTTGATAATTAATTTATTATTAATTTATTATAATAAATTTAATAGAGTAAATATTAATATTAATAATATTTTTTTATTTATTTCTGAAATATCTGTTTGATTTAAAATTTTTCTAATTCTTCTTTTATATATATTATTTGTAAATAAGCTACAATTATTAATTTTTGTAAAAGCTATTTTTTAATATTTTTAAATTAATAAATATTATAAAATTTTATTAATTATGTAAAAATTTTAGCAAAATTTATTTATATTAAATCAGTTTTTTTTTATTTAAATTAATTAATTAATTAATATATTATATATGAGTTTATTGTATTATAATAATATATTATATATAAGTTTATTGTATTATAATTATTACTCTTTATACTATCTAAAATAATAAATTAAATAATGAATAATTTGTATAATTATTTGATTTTTAACCTAAATAAATAACATTTTATAATTATTTATAAATTATTCAAAAAGTTAATTTAAAATTAACTTTTATATTACTTAAATTTTATTTATAAACTTTTATTTTATATTTTATATATTAAATAAATAATCATAATTTGCATAAGTATATATAACTTTACTTAATATTAAATTTAAATAAGTAATTTTAATAAATAATTTACAATTTATATATAAATTGATACAAAGTTAATACTTATTTTGTCTAAAGTTTTATTATAAAATTTTTAAATTATATTCTATATAACCTAAATAAAGATACCTTTCTAAACTATTTTTAGAAAATTTGAATTCAAGATATTTGAGATTAAATTATTTGTTTATAATAAATATCTTTATTTAAACTTCTAATAGGTTTTCTTAAATTCAATTAAGTTTCATCAAATTTCAGATTTAAAAAAAAATTATTTTAAAAGTTTTAAAATAGTTTCTTAATTTTTAAGCTACATATTAAAATAGGTTTTGAACAGTATCATTAACCTAAAATATTAAATAAAATGGTTAATATAACAAGCAGATATAGTATTATTTAAATTGTTAAAGTCTAAAATAATAAATTTATTATATAAATTATATAATTAATTATTTTAGCCTAAAATTACTCATACATATTTTTTAATTTTTCATTTATTATTTTAAAATTATATTTTATATAATCTAAAATATCAAATTTATTGATTTGTAAAATTTATTTAAGTATATTGTAACCCAAATGATCTTTAGAAAACTAGAAATGTGACACAATAAAGTGATCTGCAAATGATCATCATGTGAATTGATCTACAAGAATCAATGACACAATAATCGGCAAAAAGATGATCTGCGAAATTAACCAAATC